ATATATTTATATATATGTATATGTTTATGTTTATAAACAAAAGCAATCCAATGTTTATGTATAAATAGGGATGTATCTATTTCTTACTATACCAGTCTGTCTGACATGTACGATTACCTATATACGCTCACAGTTAGGAAGAGCAGCATGGTTAGTAGTATCAGGAGAAGGATACCCAAACCCAGCAATCCAGCGGCCGCAGATGGATCCAAACGTAGGAGTTTGACGGCCGACCTTGGAAAGTATGTTTGTTAACCGGATCACATTTAGGAACTTTGGTTGTGCATGTGTGTGCTACTAAAGTATATTAGAGACTCGTTCGGGAGAGCACAGAAACTCTAAAACCCTAAAAAAAAATGCGGGAGGTGGGGGGGGGTCCAACTGATTCTGTTCAACTAACACTACCTAAACTGATTATGTGGCTGAGACTTCACAAACTGATTTTATGTCTCTGCCACTTCATAAACTGTACTTTAAGATCTCTATACATAAATTGTACTAAATTAACTATTTCTGTGTCACTGACACTACATAAACTGTTGCTGTATCACTCACACTACTTGTTGTGCGTACGTACATTGTGGATTTGTGTGATGGTACAATAGCCTCACGAGTGATTGATGAAGTGTGCTTCATGACACTTTACGCGCACTCTGCCAATACACACACCCGCCGTGGAGGTACATGCTCATGCTAACATGCTAACACAATTGAATGCGAATCCTAAACATTCTGCGTGTGCGTATATATTCATTCGAGTACGATAAACCATTTTTATCTATGAGCAGGATATGTGAACTCAAACGCAAGTGCCATTGAATATCTTTATTTAGGAATACCTGCACTGCAGATCCGATTGGTGGTACATGTCGTGTGTTGCCATTAATTTACTTAAACTGATGTATTGACATCTCTCACGGGTTACTATCACAGTACAATCAACCACACTATCAAAGGCTCTGGTGTACCGACATCTCTCACTGGTTACTATTACAGTACAATCAACCTCACTTTCAAAGGCTCTGATGTACCGACATCTCTCACTGGTTACTATTACAGTACAATCAACCGCACTATCAAAGGCTCTGATGTACTGACATCTCTCACGGGTTACTATTACAGTACAATCAACCGCACCATCAAAGGCGCCGGCAGAACCGTCGGAGGGGGAGTAGAGAAGGTGGCCAAAGGTCTGTCCTTGCCGAGTTTGCGCTCTAATAATACCTCACCCAGTGCATCTGCCGATGAACTCCCACAACTGGTAGGTGGGACTGATTTTGCCCTGAGTGGGTACGTGTATACGTATAATGATATTGTACTGTGATTACGTATAATGATACTGTGGTGTATTTATGTATAATGATATTGCACTAGTGATACTGTAGTGTATGCTCGTTCGCTTTATCTGCTCACAACTGGTATGTGTAACTGATTTTTCCCTGAGTGGATACGTATATACGTATAATGATATTGTAGTGCACTTATGCATAATGATATTCTAATGTATTTACGTATATTGATATTGCAATGTATTTACGTATAATGTTATTGTAGTGTATGTTTGTTTGATTTATCTACTCACAACTGGTATGTGTAGCCGATGTTCCACTGAGTGGCTATCCATCTCACTGTAGTTGGCGCTCTAAATGGGAATACAAGCCATTCTCAGTTAGGCTATACTATACTCCCACACTCCTTCTTCTTCATACTCAGTGTAAGGTAATACGGTACGAGTGCTGTTTAAGGTTCACAGTATGACCTGTTGCGGTGGGCATGGTGGTATCCATCAGTTTCAGTGCAATGCTAACACTCGCGCATGTAGTACACAGTGCTCAGTCGGGATACAGCACACATCTCTCACGCCCTTGAGATATAAACTCAGGTTATCGACTGTTCGGTACTGTAGGACAACCCGAGGCAAGGCCTCGACTCTGTGTCAGTAAACGCTTTGTTTGGGGATGTAAGAGGGTTGTTGTACGTCCCTGTGGTCATGAATGTGATGTATATCTCAACCAAACGATTACTTTACATTTACGCATTAATAGCCAACTGAAATGTGCACGAGCACTTTACGCATTAATAGCCAATTGAAATGTGCACGATTACTTTACGTATTAATAGCCAACTGAAATGTGCATGATTACTTTACGTATACGCATTAATAGCCAACTGAAATGTGCACGATTACTTTACGCACTAATAGCCAACTGAAATGTGCACGATTACTTTACGTTTACGCATTAATAGCCAACTGAAATGTGCACCGCGCCGACCGGGGAGAAGGAGAAGAAGTTCCTGCGCAAACGCAATCACATGCGAATAGCCACCATCCTCTACGGTGAGTGTATAGTGAGTGATGGCACGATGCAATTACCTACTCACAAACATACACGTGGGTCAGTGAGTGGTTCAGTTCGGGCTGATATGATATAGATTATTCCTCATTGTCGTACTACTGAGCTTGGTTTATGCAGGTTTTTCCTCATTGTTGTACCACTGAGAATTATGTAATTCTGAGCTTGGTTTATGCTTGTGTTTCCTCAATGTTGTACTACGTAGAATTTTGTACTTCTGAGCTTGGTTTATACTGCTTTTTCCTCAACGTTGTATTACTAAGCATGTTGTACTTCTGAGCTTGGTTTATGCTGGTTTTTCCTCATTGTTGTACTACTAAGCATGTTGTTGTACTTCTGAGCTTGGTTTATACATTTATTATTCCTCATTGTCGTACCTCTGAGTTTGGTTGTTGTACCGATTGTCTCTCATTACTATTTCTACCGTATGACCTGATAGTCGCACCCACTGACCTCCGCTTTCTAGTAGCTGGCTACAGTTGTCAAATGTTAACCACACCTCTTGTGGACACTACATCCACCTGCAGTGCATGTTATATAGAAGCCTTCAACAGCACATGTGTAACACTTTCAAAGGTATCTCTTTACTACATCCACCTGCAGTGCATGTTATATAAAAGCCTTCAACAGCACATGTGTAACACTTTCAAAGGTATCTCTTTACTACATTCACCTGCAGTGCATATTATATAAAAGCCTTCAACAGCACATGTGTAACACTTTCAAAGGTATCTCTTTACTACATCCACCTGCAGTGCATATTTTATAAAAGCCTTCAACAGCACATATGTAACACTTTCAATGGTATGTTCTTTACTGTATGGTGTGCACTCATCACGATATGGTGTCGCACTGCTCTGCTTCTAACCCTCTCAGATCGACAGCACAAGAAAGACTCTCCCGTCGCAATCACAACTCCCCGAGCTGCCGAGAACGAACCAGATTTTGACTTGTCGTTTGCCGGGTAAGGAGTGCCTATTGTGATGTATGACTAATGCATCATACACATATCTGTACATACACGTATTTGAAT